GCTAATATGGCCGATCAAAGTTTTACATAGGAATATATAGGGAAAATCTTCTTCTCAAGAACAACTGGGCCAGTTAAGATGAAATTCATGTACTGTGGAATCATCCTCAGGTAGTGTTAATTCAAGTTTATTCAAATCATGATCCCTGGGGTAGGGTGGGGCCAATATGGCTGATCAAAGTTTTACATAGGAATATATAGGGGAAAAAAATTAAAAATCTTCTTCTCAAGAACCATTGAACAACCTGGGCCAGTAAAGATGAAACTCATGTGAAATTATCTTCAGGTAATGTAGATTTGAGTTTGTTTAAATTATGACCCCCGGGGGTAGAGTGGGGCCAAAATGTCCGACCAAAGTTTTACATAGGAAAATAAAGGGACACCTTTTTAAATCTTCTTTTCAAGTACTTCAAAGCCATGATTAGTAATATTAATATGGAATCATCCTCAGGTAGTGTAGATTCTAGCATGTTGAAATCATGGTCCCCTGTGGGGTTAAAATTAATTCAGCCCCCCCCCCTTCAACCTCAGTTAACTTTTAGTTCTGATCTGATTTGTGTTTTTCCTAGCCGTTAAGTGCTCAGGTGAGCGCTATGGCCCCTGGGCCTCTTGTTCAAGTAAGTACATGTATTATTGTAACTTCTTAACTACAAACTATCCCACCTCTACAAGTGTTCTGATTTTTACATCAAATAAGGGGCCCAATTCGGTCGTTACCCTATCTTGTCCTTTCTGATAAACTTTCTAAAATTTTGAGATATATTTAGTCCCAGAAATAGTGGTTCCTGTGGGGTGGGATGCACAACTGGTTATAAAGTGGAAATGCATTTTCATTTTGTTACTTTGATCTTCCTCTAGGTATTAAGTAACCAGAGGAAGTATGCTAAATGTATAATTATGATAAGCAGTGGTGCCTTTTTAAAAATGGTGAATTTCGTGGCCTTTGGTTTAAATCACGAACCAAGTTCAATTGTTAGAAAGTTGTTATTTACTAAGGTTACCTATAAGGCCTCTTGTTAAATATAATTTCTAAAAAGCACCATAGCCAAGATTAATCATAGTAATTAAAAATGATTGATATTGATTGTATATTGCTTTGTGTTCTCATCGAGAATTTTTCACTCATATAGAGACCACATCACATAGTGGTAAAGGGATTTAAAGGATGATGTGGCATAACTGCTATCTGGGGCCCCTTTTTCCACGATTAATTATACGTGTATTTAATCTACAACGATGTTTGTAGTTTTTAAAATGAGTGAATAAATATGACGCCTTTTGAATAATTTCAATAGTTCAGAAACATTTTAAGGAATACTGCATTATCTTTGATTTTTTGGACCCAATCACAGCTAAATTCGGCCAGGATTGTGAGAATATGTTCTTCTCTGGTAAGAGAATGGGCGAGTCTTATACAATAGAGGGATATGCGATATGTCCGAGAAGACCTAATATGGCTATTGTTATCATTTTGCACATAGTCATTGTCCAATCCGATGACAGAACAACAAAGCATGATGGTTTACTTCGTTTACATTTTATCACAGACACGTGGTTTAGGTCAATTTACCGTTACAGTTTTCTACATTTCAAACTTTTATAATGGTCAGTCAAGGCTGTTTATATTTATAATATGCATGGATTTTCAGCATTTACGGTTTTTAGGACAAGAAATGCACATGAAACTTGTATTCACTGACACTCGGGAATACATGTAGACCTAGCGTATTGCTCAATAAACACGCTACGAAACTTTAAACTAATGTATAATTATCAATTGTTTGTAACTGTATATAAATTTTACTGTCGTCTTGGAAATTGTACATAGGTAGATCCGTGTCTTATCTGTGACTCAAATGCAATTAAAATTATCAGAAAGCAGTAAAATTCCAAGCAAGTTTCCATAGTATTTTTGTGGTACTCACTCGTAACGAAGTTCATTTAGTTGATTGGTCAGTTAGAAAGTATCGCCAGTGCCTCGACTAGCATAATTATGAATTTATTCTTACGTCAGAAAATCTAGTTCCGTCGATCTGTTCATAATGGAAAAATCCAGCTAGATTTTTACATTTTAAGAAAAATAACATGTGAGCGCAGTTAGGTATAATTTTCTCCTTTCACATATAGGTAGATTTCAATAAAATACAGTGACCAGCCAAAGAAGAAAGTTGTAACTATCTGCGCTCGTATATTTTAAGGGCTTCAAAGAGTGGGGCGGGGACAAAATTCAGTGGGAATTGGATGTAAACATAATACCTCTACCCAAATAAAAGATGTATATCTTTCAAATCACATTTCTATTTTTATTACAAATGGTATCTCATATAGGTATACATATCAGTGATTAGTTTCATACAAAAATTTGAGTAAAATTCGTACATTTAACTTTTTGTCAATTTACCGGGGGCCACAAGTCACCTCATTCTTTTGATCTTTACTTGGCACTGATGTCAATTGAACAGTGAATGATTTTTATTGTGCCACGCCTGCCATGATACGCGGGCTGGTTTACTTCAAAGTGCAGAGAGCAAGGCGAAGGGACAGTTGTTATCCATTATTTTTATCGACTTGTAGCGGCCGAGATTTGATTGATTAATTGATTCATTGATTGATTGTTGTCATTCAGCAACGAGGAATCATTTTCGTGCCTGTACCTACTGCATCAGGGGACCTCGGTTTATACTTTCTCATCCGAAGTCACGGTCTCCACGTTCCGCAACATAAAGATCAACTCCTATCTTCGCGACTCTAGAGGAGACGCTCTAACCACTGCGCCGCGCGGGTGACGCCGAGATTCGAACTCCACGTCCTTGTCGTCATGTAGCATGCGCCTTCTGACTGAGCTATCTGACATTCCACCGGTGTAGAAGATTCATTTTTGTTCAAGGTTCCTGTTTATAACCTGGGGCACAAAACTGGATTAAAAATTCACATATTTAGGAATTCATGTTGATTGATGTAAAAGAATCCAAAATTTACAAAAGGTGAGCGTAGTGGCCCTATTGCCTCTTGATTGACTATAGATTATTTAAGGAAATACAGTGGCATGCGATACCAATCAATTTAATAAGTATTCATCTTTGATGCTGTTAATTAAGTTTATTAGCGTTATATTTTTTTGAAAATGTAATTTAATATAGATTTGTAAATACATGTATACATGAACATTTTTGAAGATACGAGAAACTGTATGATTCCATGTTCCATGACCGCTTCAGTTCGTCGATTTAGTAAATGCATTTACAATGGAGATGTTTCATCAAATGTTCCAGACAAAGCACTCGGGATATCTTCATATCTCAAAAATATATTGCTGCTATAGAAGCTTAGGAACTGGTTATTTACAGGTATCCATTCAAGGAAAGTGCGATTACAGTATTTACCGTACGTAATGTATATGTTTATATATAAAACGTTTTTAATAAATTTTTTTTTTCAATTTTTAAAAAAAATTAAAAGAATTTATAGATATACATGTATACGAACATTTGTGTATAATTTGTATTATTTATTTTACGTCATTTTTATAGAACTTTCCTTCTTGCAATAGCAAGCAGATACAATAACAAAATTTCCTTATCTTACATTGTAGATAAAAGAAATATGCAGCTTGGAGAAAGTTGCTTTTCGGATGAGCAGTGCTATAGGTCAAATGATCGACGAAAATGTTTAAGGAATCGCTGCTCATGTGTAGATGGATATAAGGAATATATTGATGCTGATAAATGTGTACTTGGTATGTTGACGAATGCTTTTTTAATACCTCATATAAATTCATATTAATCATGATACCTAATTAATAAATAAATATATACATTCAATAATTGTTGCTTCTTCAAGTTAAAGGTAAATATTGTAGAAAACTGTCCCCATTCTCTTGCTTTTGTCTTTTTTAAATTGCTATTAAGTATTTTAATCATTCTTAAGATTTCTTTAGAAACCCTTTTTAAAAACGGAGCTTCAAAATATGGTGAGGAATGCCTATTTAGCGAACAATGTGCTTTTTACGGAGGAGTCTGCTCAAGAAACCGAAAATGCTCCTGCCGATCTGGTCATTTGTACAACAACGAGAAAAAACAATGTTATCAAGGTTAGTCACACAAAAAAGGGTTCTGTTGCAATTGGTAATAATCTTAATCTTCAATTAAAAAAGATATGCTTAAAAAATCTTCTTTTGCAACATATTGTGAAGGTATATATATACAAAATATTTATATTACAATATTAATATATTAATACTTATGAATCAATGTTACGTGTTGGGGTTATTTCTAATTCTTGAAATCTCCCGTATAGCACACAGTATACACTTATTTCATGACTACGAGGGGAACAGTCAAACTGTTGTCCCGGGGTAATGGTGAAAACCTGGAAAACAGATGCCCGAGGCCGAAAGCCGAGGGCAAGAGTTTCTCAGGTCTTCCACATTATCGAGGGACAACAGTTTGACTGTTTCCCGAGTTGTCATGAAATAAGTGTTTTATTACATAACCTACATAATTTCTTAAAGTAATGATATAGACATGATAATCATTGGATTTTAGAATAAAATCGGCAAAAGCGTTTATTTCTTGATACCACACTAAACAAAAGACTAATCAAATTTTCACCCCAATTGGTTTAAAAACAATACATTGATAAAATATCAATTTATCAGTGCCTCACTTGTAAACAACATAATAATGTCTTGAAGGTTTGAATATAACACGCTGAGTTGGACGTTTAACGCAAAAATCTATAATGAGTGAAAGGGGCATAGTATTACATTGATAGTGATATTAAATTAAACATATAATTATATAGGTATCAGGATTACTTTTCAAATGATAATTTCAAATTGAATGCATTAAATTGCTTTATTTTATACATAATCCAATGTTATGTAGCTGTAAAGTACGGGAAATTGAGTTTGACGTCATAATGGATATTTCAGCCAGGCAACAGTTCATTCTGTGGCCCGGTCAACAGTTCGACTGTTTCATGATCACGCAAAAGCAAAACATAAATCAAGAAATAGTTCAAAATGCCTAATTACAACTTATATAGTAGGTTAGGTAATACTATGATTTGTGTAATTATAACCAAATATAATACATTCCCCAAAAAACGTTGAACTACGTACTCTTTTGTAAACCATACTTTTAGATAGAACTCTCGTTATATTAAGGATAGACAAAAAAAAAAAAACAAATCCAGAATCTGAACAATAGATGTAGGAAGACGTCAAATTACGTTATAATGATCTGACGCTTCTATAAACGCACCGGCATTATTTTAGATGCAATATCTTCCATAACCAATAAAACTAGGTTATAACGAAGTCATTTGGACCTATTAAACTACTTTGCTATATTCATAATTCATTACAACCGTGTAAGAAATTCATTAAATTATTTACATAGTTGGGGATCCAAAAAGACTTTGCTATATCCGTAAATTCGCTACATGTATATACGTGTTCGTACTAAATGAGTTTTTCTGTAATATATGGCCTATATATATATATATATATATATATATATATATATATATATATATATATATATATATATATATATATATATATATATATATATATATATATAAAGTAACACCGACAACACATGTTGCAATAAGGTTAGCACTTTCGTTTCAAATTCTTCAGAAGTTTTACTTTCAACATTTGACGTTAAAATGTTATAATTTAATTTTGTTTCTACATGTATTCTAGTCTCTCATTGGTTGATTACCAAAAAGGAACGCAAATTATTTCTTAATAACCTGGTTTGGTATGGGGACACATCCCCTTGACAACCAACTGAATCATCTGTATCCATACATTCCCCTCATTTCCAGTCCTTGGAATTCATGGGAAATTCAAGTTTTAATAAATGTACCTTTAACTTCAAACAGTAGCTCGATTTTACCTCTTGTACACAATCATCATGGCTGCTAGATCTGTATATCAGTTATTACCTCCCCTTGTTTCATATCACTTCCGTAACTAGGAATGTATTATTGAGCTGCAAATTTCGAACTCGTAAAAACCAACACAATTTTACACCCACAGTTGTTGAACTGTTTTAAAATTAAACTACAAGGAATGACTCCAATTCTTGGCCTAATTATTCGATGCTAACCTGGTTTGGTTCAGTTTACGCTTTTTATAATTCCTTAAATATTGTCCACACTTATATACAAAACACCTCTATTCAATTTTTACATAATCACGTTTACTTTAATAATGATGTTCGTGTTTAAATCTTTAATTTTGAAATTATAGGTCTTTTAAATCTTTAATAATATTGTTATTAATAAAAACAATGTTCCGCATTCTTAAACAAATAGATTCAAAATTTATATACTTTTACCCGCACTCTGACGTTCTTTTTTCCACACAAAAATGAAATTATTGATGAAATTTCTCTACAAATGTCAAAAATTGTGTGTAACTTCAACGTTTTTATCACATAAAAATGAAAGAGTTACCGTATAGCCGGTTATTTGGCGGGGATATAATGTTGTCGATTTATAAAAAAAATCATCAAAATAAACTTTATGCATAAAATGGCCCTGTATACCAATTGATTCATCAACACTGGATTTTCCATATGAAGCATTAAAATAAAAAAGAGAGAAATAGTGCTTTCATATCGTAATAAAAATTTTCTCCTTAAAGTCCAGATCCTTGAGAACTGGCTTTTTGAAATTGCAATGTTCTTGAATTTTTAGGTAAACAGGTATAATTGAGTACTTTCCGTGAAGAGAAATTATATGAGAACAAGTACTCTCTTATCTAAAACAAATAAAACATGTCTTTTAATCCTCAAAAACAGTTCTATCATTTACTTGTTGTATATTTTAGATCAGTAGTTGCGCTCTATATTAAATATCTAAAAATAGCTTTAAATATTTGCAGTTTTTGTACACTTTTTTCAGAATATAAGGGAATTGGCGCAATTCGTGAAGTCATAATGCATAGACAAGCCATAAAATTTCGTCATTTTTGATAGATACGGAGTCACCAAAAATCTAAGTGATGTTCAATGCATTGTTAACTAAAGACTATGGATTTTCAGTTTTTCAGAAATACATAGGGCCAAATAAGGCAAAAGTGAACCTTATTCTTTATAGTCTGCACGCCTTGCGTTTGTAAACTTCCCGATTTTTTGAATGATGGTTACGGCATGTCGATATATCCATACAATTTATATTATTTTAAATAAATTAAAATAATTACATATAATTCTTTATCCTAACCTTTTTTTAAAAAAAATGGATTAAACTTTTACTCCAATCAATCCTAAAGAAAAAAAGAGAAAGGTCATGTTTGTTTCGAGTCACCTGTCTTTTATGACCAATACAATCTTGAGCAACAAAGTTTATTTAACAATTATTGTTTTACACTACATGTACTTGATATAATTCAAAAATTATATCAATTAATATGTGAAAGTAATAGCTCTTGGGATTGTTTGTTCACGTAAACACAAACGTAAACGTAAACAACGCTTGGAATGCATAGTCAGCATATAATATCTCAACATACTTGGAACGCTCAAGAAAAGAAATATAGGCGTCCTTAAGCTATGAACTTATATAACCAAAAATCGATAAAAATACAACAAAGACTTAATATATGGGCAAAATTAATGTAGCTTACATATAAACTAATTTTTAAAAGAAAAAAAGGTCGTATCCTACTTTCGTTTTTAAATTCATATATATTTATTTTGTTATGATTTAAAAAAATGTTTTTGCATTATTTATGCAGTTTGAATAATAGCTACATATGCAATTGCAAATTTGGGGTGCGATTTATCCATAGAATCTGGTTTTTTCCCCAGGATTTCCCAACAACTTTGGTCAGTTTGGGAGGGTGTAACAAGAGCGCGGTTTGTATAAAGTACCTGCGGCTTTAAAGTAAAAATTTGAATTTACCAAAATATTATACACCAAAATTAGTGGTATACCTTGGCAACCTAAAATCGCCATATCTGTGTCCCGCCAAAAAATCCGGCTATACGGTATTTATGCTAAATCTCCATAGCATTGTCAAAATTGTGTAAATAATCTTGCATTCTAATCTAATTCTAAAATCTTCATTTTTTCACTTAAGTAGGTTTATATGTGTAAATTATTAAAAAAAATATATATAATTTATTCTTATTCCTTTTTCGGTAGAGAACTTGTACAAACAACTTATTGTATGAACATTTACAGTAAAGCATATTATCCAATATCAGATATTTTTACCAATGTTTTATTAGGATATGCAAGTGTGGCATTACATTTAAATTTGTTAAAATCGTAAAGACTTTGAATCTTATTAACCAGCATACATATGTTTTTCATTTACTTAACCATTTTATATTACTATCTATAACCATTTCTTAATTTGTAGTGGTAAACGTGCTGGGCTCTGCAGTAGGAACAGGTATTTTTGGTTTAATATTTGGTATCTTGCTAGGATTTGTCGTCGTGTTCCTTATCCAGAAAAGAAAATAGAGGTAAAATAGTACTAGGCAATTGTTGAAATGGATAATTTAATCAAAAATTGTTTTAGGCAGAGAGTTCACTGAGTCAAAATTACTAAAATCTCAATCCTCATGCACTTTTTTTTATTATTTTCACCTATTTTTTCTTCAAATGTACAAATGTTCCACTTCATGTCATTGACAAAAATATTTTACTCTACCTAACATCAATCAGTTTGAAACATGTATTTAACGTAACTGAAATGAACTTTATTTGATGTCTTTTCAGGGGAAAAAAATTATATTTTTATTACTGGATGATTCATCTTCTAGAATGTGTAACTTGTTTACTTTTTAAAATATAAACACTTACAATATATTGATTCTGTAACTTAATAACGACATGGTGTATTTAGACTTGTTTAAATCTGAGCTTTTTTTCTTTACTAGTGCTACATGTACATTTTATAAGAAGACATAATAAAAATTGCAATAATATTAAAAATATATTCTTGATTGTTTTCGTTTTTTAAATGTTTGGTTTGCTCGTTAGAATATATATTCATTTTTTGTTTACTAGCAATATCTATATATGTTTCCATTTCCAATTGTTTTCTCTATGATAAACACTTGAAAAATTTATCGTGTTAGTTTCTTCTAGATGATATCTGTGGTATGTATATTTCTCTATAGAAATATTACTGAAAGGTCAAATGTCAACCTGCATGTATAAGAGTGGCGTATGAATACAATGAAGAAAAAATAGATGTTTTAACTTTTATTTGATTGTTTTCTAGCTAAATCGATACGATATATTTTTTCCAAACTCCTAAATAGACAGTGATTTCTTAAGTATTTGCAGAAAATTAAGTTCATTACAACATCCAAAGGGTAAAAGATAATTCCATGAGGATTTTTTACGGCAAAAACACAAGATTATAAACAGGATCACGTCTTTTATCTTGATGCTTCACAATGTAACTATTTTTCACTGAATCAAGTAAATTTATTTACAAACACCAGGAAAGACATTTGGTTTACATCAATATCGACTGTATCTAATATAAAATACTATTTAAAATCCTATATTTCTAGAATCTGCATGATGAAGAATCTTACGATATAAAAACACACAGGATTATTCATCTTTTTTTTTGTTTTGAAATGAGACAAGGGAAAATCCTATTTTTTTAAATTAATGACTAAAACGTTAATGAAAAATGTTTTTTAATCCGTAATACATTCTCATTAATGCTGATTCCTAATATGATCAAAACAACTTCGTTTCAGATAAAAAAAAACATTACAATATTAAGTTTTTTTCCTGAAAAATACCATTTAAAGCATAAGCATAGTAAATTGCTATCTCTCTCTTTATCCCCCTCTCTCTCTCTCTTTATGGAGAAAATGGCTTTACATTCAAGGAAAGAATTTTAGTTGTGTAGAGCAATATTTTCTTTTTCATTACATATTCTTCTACATGTAAAAATATATTGTTTTTCTTATTTAAATATAATAATTCATATTCAGCTTATGACTTGTTTC